TTACATTCTGCATGAAAAGAAGATATTTGTAACTCATGAGTCCTTTGTCAGTATTAGAGTAGTTGGAGGGAAAAATTACAGGTATGTGTATGTATGTGTGTGTGTGTATAGATAGATAGATAGATAGATAGATAGATAGATAGATAGATAGATATAGATAGATAGATAGATAGATAGATAGATAGATAGAGGGCACAGGGTGAGTTGAAGATGAAGGAGTGAAATCTGGAGAATAAAAATTAAGGGGTGAGAGAGGATTATACTGGGAGAAAGAGAAAGGGAGAGGTAGAGTGGGGTAAATTATCTCATATAAAACAGATGAGAAAAGGCTTTTACAGGGGAGGGAAAGTGGGGGAAGGTGAGAGGGAATGAGTGAATCTTATTCTCGTCAGATTTGGCTTAAGGAGAGAATAACATACATACTCAATTGGGTATGGAAATCTGTCTTACCCTACAGGAAAATAGTGGGGGAAGGGGACAAGAGAGCAGGAGGATGATGGAGGGGAGAACAGATTGGAGGAGAGGGTAATCAGAAGCAAAAACTTCTAAGGAGGGACAGGGTCAAAAGAGAGAATAGAATAAATGGTGGGGAGCAGGTTTTTCACAACATGACTACTATAGAGGTGTTTTGCATGACTACACATGTATAACCTATATTGAGTTGCTTGCTTTCTCAATAAGGGTGGGAGGGGAGGGAGGAAGGGAGAAAATTTGGAACCCAAAATTTTAAAAACAAAAGTTAAAAAAATTGTTTTCACACACGACTGGGAAATAAGATATACAAGCATTGGGGTATAGAAATCTATCCTACCCTACAGGAAATTTTAAATGGAAGGTGATAAGAGAAGGGAGGGAGAGATAGAAGGGAGGGCAGATTAGGAGAAGGGGTACTCAGAATGCATGCCATCTTGGTGTAGGGCAAGGGGTGAGATGGGGAGAAAATTTGGAACTCAAAATCTTGTGGAAGTGAATATTGACAACTAAAAATAAATAAATTAATTAAAAACAAAAACAAAAAAAAGAAAAAGAAAAATTATTTTGGCAGTTGTATATAGAATGGATTAGAGTGGGGAATGACTTGAGGCAGGGAGACATCAGCAGAACTGGCATAATTGATAAAAGTTTGGAATGATGGGTTGTTAATTACAGACGGAACTAAACTATCACAGGCAACATATTTCACTTCTGCCCCCAAGTCTGAGCATAAAATCCTTTCAACAGGGCCTGGGACCAACATATCCAAATACCCAATTTCCTTCATGTTAATCAAAGGATATCTGATCATAATTTTTATATGTGATTACATGACATTTGGAGGAAGCAGTGAGTTGAGAGTCAGAGACTCTCGCCTCAAATTTCAGCTAAGCCACATGGTATTTGTGCATCCTTGGACAGGTCATTTAATCTCTTGATCTTTTTCTGTAAAATGAGGGATTTGGACTAGATATTGGCAGCTCTTTCTAGATCTAAATCTATGATACTTCTATTAATGTTATTAATAGTAAGCGCTAATCTTCACTGCTTTTGGTCTTTTTCTAAAAATAATTTAGTAGAAATAATGTCAAACATCAGTACAGCTAATTACACATCTATTGCTATTATTTACATTTAAATAAATGGATTTCAACACACAAAATAATACTTTCAGTTACTTCCTCAACGCTCCCCTCAAGATTCTTGGTCCATGAATTTAATACTCACTCACTTTTCCTCTTACCTGGTCTTAGCACTTTGTTCTAATTCTATTTTTTTTGGGTGGGAAGGGGATTTATCTTTTTCATCTGTAAATTATGCAAGGAATGAGCCTATGACCATTTAACTTGTTCTTTACAATGCCCAGCAGAATATGCAATGCCAGGTTTCAAATTGAAAAGGATCTCAGAGGTTATCTCAATCAACCCTACTCTCTCTCACGCCCTATATATCCAGTCAGTTGCTAAGTCCCATCAGTTCTACGATTGTAACATATCTCATACTTTCACCTTCCCATATAGCCTCTCATTACCTCGAACCTGGACTATTGCTATAGCCTGCTGATTGTTCTCCCTGCCTTAAGTCTCTCCCTGCATAGTTTATCCTACCCTCAGTTGCTTAACTGATCTTCCTAAATCATCAGTTTTATCATGTCACCTCCACCCCCTTCCCCATTTAATAAGCTAGTGTGGTTCCCTTTTATCTTATTTAGTTTTAAATCTAAAATCCTCTGTCTAGTTTTCAAAGTCCTCTATAACCTGGCCCCTTCCTCTTGTTCAAAGTCTTCTTATACCTTACTCTCCTCTCCATGTATTCCATGATCCGATGATACTGGCTTGCTTGTTTCTCCTATCTCCTCCCAGTTCCTTGCATTTTTCACTAGCTGTTCCCTATCATGAAATTATTTTCCCTTTTATCTCTGTCTCTTGGCTTTAATTTTCAGCTAAAATCCACTTTCAATAAGAAGTCTTTCCTAAGCCTCCTTAATTCTAGTGCCTTCCCTCTATTGATTATCTCCAATATTTCCTCTCTCTATCTTGTTTATATGTAGTTTTTTGCTTATTGACTTAATTAGACTGTGAGCTCCCTGGAGAAGAGATAACTTTTTGCCCTTTTAAAAATTTTATTTTTGCATTCCCTAACACTTAATATAGTGTCTAAAACTTAGTAGTCACCTAATGAAGACTTATTGATTTGACTTTGAAAACTCATGTCCATTTTGCTGCTAGATGCATTTTTTCCTACTGGAGTACAGTATTACTCCTCCCCACTCCATAAATTTCCCATCAGTATAGTATGTCTATTTCTTACACTGAATCTTCATCTTATTATATTTTAGGACCTCATGTTGGGAAATCCTAATTTCCTGTGTCAATAGTTTAACCCAGAGGTTCCCAAATTTATTTGGCCTAACATTCTCTTTTCAAGAAGAAATTACTTAGGGGCAGCTAAGTGGCATGGTGGATAGAGCACTGGCCTTGGAGTCAGGAGGACCTGAGTTGAAATCCAGCCTCAGACACATAATACTTCCTAACTGTGTGCCTTTGGGAAAGTCACTTAACCCCAATTGCCTTACTAAAAAAAAGAAAAGAAAAGAAATTACTCAGCACCCTTCTGGAAATCTATTTTCTTTAACCATTAATTTTTTTAAATTTACATCATTTCAAAAAACATAAAATATTTTTAAATGATACATCTTAAATTTAATAATTTATTGTAAATTTGTGTTTTTCCTTGCATTGAAATTTTGATGATGCAATATTATATCATGTAACGGTATAGATTGTATTGTAAACAAGTCATTACATGCACATATTCCTGCTGACATATGCTGGACTTCCTGATAATGTGCAACACATTGGCCTGCCAACGCTCCCTTGTAAGACCTGTCAGCAGACTTGAGCACTGATGGGTCATAACTTGCATTTTTTGTGTTTATTTGGAAAATAATGTAATCCTAAGGCTTTAACTGTTATACAACAGATGAAACATGTATGAACAGTTTTTCAAAATTTCCTTCTCTTCTTTCCTTATGCTTCCACAGCCCCCTTATTTTTATTTAATGCCCCACAATTGCACCCGAGGCTACTACCCCTCTCTGGATAGTTCCAGTGCCTCCCAGGAGTTGGTATGACCTACTTTTGGAACACCTATGGAACCTGACTACTAAGGATCTTCTTAGCAAGTGTTTGTTGCAACCAATAAACAACAACAACAGTTTCACTCCTGTCTTGGGATAAGGACAAAATATCCACGTAGAAGTTTTACCCTTCATTTTATAAGCACTATCTTACAGACCTCTGTTTTTTCAGAGGTCTGATTTTATTTTTAAATTGATAGTTGCTCTCCTTTCCCCTTGCCCTCCCATTCTAGCTTTAAATCATTGCAGATCTGTCCCTACTACTGCCCCATTTACCCCCAATCCAACAAGCACTCCTAAAAGTAAGCTTATATGTGGTGGCAGTAGAATAAAAAACAAAGAACACAGACAGCAAATACTAACCTCATTTTCTTTTCTGATGGAGTAGATAAACAATAATAATTGCTGTCACACACACACACATATAATACTTTGAAAGTTTTAAAAATATATTACAAATAATATTTCATTTTATCCTTGCAACAAATCTTAGAGGGAGATACTATTAATTTATCTCATTTTACAGATGAGGAAACTGAGACAAATAGAAGTCAAGTGAATTGCTCATAGTCAAATAGCTAGTAAGTATCTGAGACTGGATTTGAACTCAAGTCTTTCTGCTTCCTAGTCTAATAATCTATCTACTGTATCACCTAGAACACAGAATGCTATAGAAATAGTTTAATGAAACTTCAGGAAAATGTTTGAAAAAATTTTTCCTATTATTCTTGAAGAAAAGATGGAGGAATGTGGGCTACAATTAGATGTAATCTGAATTGGTTTAATGGTGGGATGTAAAAGGTAGTCATTAATGGCTCAATGCCAAGTTGTCATGAGGTCTCTGACATAGTGTTCTAGAAATCTGCATGGCCCTGTGCTATTTAAAATTCTTACCAATGTTTTGATAAAGGTATCAATGTCTTGCTCATCAAATTTGCATGGGGCACAAAGCTGCAAGGTATATCTAACCCAATGGATAACAATCAGGATCGATCAAGGTTTTGACAGGCTAAGCTAGAGCACAGGACTGAATCTACTGAGATAAAATTCAATATGGATAAATGCAAAGTCTTATATTTGACTATAAGAAATAATTTCCCTTGCATATGTCACAGAGGACAAAGTTAAATAGATGTTTGCCTGAAAAAAGATCTGGGGTTTTAGTGGACTGAAAGCTGTATATGAGTCATCTGTGATATGGCAACAAAAAGGCTAATGCAATATTGGATTAAGACAAGAAAAATTTAGCCCCCAAGAAAAAAAAATATGTGATAGTCCTTCTATAGTCAGATCACAACTGGAGTATTGTGCTCAATTCTGGGCACCACACTTTAAGAAGGATGTTGAAAAGCTAGTGAGCATCCCTAAGAGGGCATCTACTTTGGTTGGATCCATATTATATGGGGATTAGTTGAAGGAATCATGAATGTCTGACCTAAAGAAGAGGATGTTCTGGATACAAGATAGCTGTCTTCAAGTACGTGGTGGACAGTCACTTGAAAGAGGGATTTCACTTCCTGTCTTTGACCCAGAAGGCAAAACCAGGAGTAGTGGATAGAAGTTGTAAAGAAGCAAATTTAAGGTTGATATCAAGAAACAGAAGAAAACAAAACACAAGCTTCCTAACAATTAGGGTGTCCAAAAGTGGAGTAGACTGTCCTAAAAGGTTTGCTTTCTTGAAGGTCTTCAAGCAGAGGCTGGATGGACACTTGTCTGATACAGTGGATTTTCTTTCTAGCACAGATTGGACCAGAATTAATCAGTCCAAAGGTATTTATTAAACCACTATTATTTGCCAGGTACTGCAGGATAACTGGACTAGATGGCTTCTGAGGTCCTTTCTAACTCTGAAATTCTGTGAAAGAAAAGAAAAAAAATACATCATAGCACTTAGGGGTTCTTTTAAGAGGGCCTAAGTGGCCAAATCATACTTTAAAAAACCTAAGAGGCCAAATCATGCTTTAAAAAGAAAAGAAAAAGAATGGTCTTCAGAAGTATGAGTATGTGTATATGTGTGTGTTTATATGTGTGTATGTATGTATATATGCATGTATGTATGTACACATGTGTGTGTGTATATACATACACATATATAATTTGCCATTTGCAAAAGGACTTAATATTTACAAATTGCTTTACAAACATTTCTTACCATTCACAATAGCCCTGTGAGGTAAGGGGCAGCTACAAGTATCCTTTATATTTGGAATTACTTAGGACCATTATTAGCACTCTAGTGCTAAGCAGTGTCTAACTCATTTGCTTCCTGATCAGGATTCTGGAATTCTAACCCATCAGACTTTGTTGTCCCATGAAATTATTGTGATTTTTGTCTTCATAAATTTACTCTTCTTACCTTGACTTATAATTTTGTGCTGTCTGGTGATCTCTGGAATGTTCTGTCTTCTCTCTCTTATCACAACAAGGAAGAAAGAAACAGAGGTTATCTTGCATTATTAATGGAGGCCAGTCAAAGACACAATTGAGAGGCAGGAGAGGCTTTTCTTAGACCCTTTCCTGGGCCCATTTCAGTGTCGATCCCATTGACAAAGAGCTTTCTGCTTTGCTTGCTGCAATTAATCCTGGTTAATTAGGCTAATTGAGGGCTGTTATAGTAGAATAAGGAAAGCTTTCAGACCCAAGGGAATAAATCTCCAATAGTGGAATTCCAGGAAATAGCACAGGAAGTAAGGGAGATAGTTTTAGCAAGAAGGATCATCAGATACCTGCACATTATTCCATTTAGAATTATGCCCACCTACATGTTAGTAATGTATTAGTTACTCTTTTAATAATGGCCCTGTGTACTCTCCAAAAAATATTGGGTAGGAAGGACTGGAGGAAATAGTAGAGTAGAAGGAAGCAAAATCATTAATGATACTTTTGGTTCTAACCTGTGATTTTGCTGGTGTAGGGAACTCCCCTTGAAGAAAATCCCTCTGTCAACGAAGATTGGCACCTGTGTAAAGTGTAATAGTAAAAAAGAGTAACTTAGGGCAAGAAGATGTTAAGTTACTTACCCAGGGTCATAAAGCTCATGTCCTCTTATGGCCACTCCAAAAATGATCTAAGTAGAATACTGGATTGAGCAGTGATCAGGAAATCGAAAAAGAAACTATAGTGGGTCATCTTTCCAGCCCAAAATCACAAATCTAGCCTACAGGCATATGAACAGGGAAGGAAATGTGTAATAGGATTGGGCTGGTATCACAGACTCAGTGCCTAGAGTTCCAAGTTAGGGCAGCAGCACAGGACACTCAGATTTTAAATTCAGCCCCAAGCCCCATACAGCAACTTATGGCCAGAATTATGGACTCTACATTTAGAGCTCTGAACTAGGCCAGCAACAACTCAGAGACTTAGCCGTGAGCCAAAGCCATGCCAGAATGAAACTGGGGGTTTAGAAACATAGACTTGGTGTCAAGAACTCTGAGCTAAGACAGGTATAGGGCAATCCTCAGAGCTGATCAAAGATTCCTCCCAGGCCAGCAGAGTAAGTGGGTCATCCAGAAGGGCCAGGATCACAGAATGAGTTCCCAGAGTTCCCAACTAGGCCAGAAATTCTGGATTGCCTAGAACAAATAGCTGGAAGCTGAATGACCAAATGAAAAAGAAAAAGAGCTATTATGAGGCCAGGGATGCCCAAGACACAGAGCCCCAAAGAGAATAACTGCAAAATAGCTATAAGCAAAGCCTCAAAGGAAAATACAACCTGCCCACATAACTAATTATAATTTCTATAGGAAATGATACAAGATTTAAAAAATGAGTTTAAAATAGTATTATACATAAAAGGAAAACAAAAGAGGAAAAGAACCAGGAAAGAAATGAGAGCTGTGGAAGAGAGACTTGGAAAGAAAATTAACATGCCAACATCAGAGACAAAAACAAACAAAAACCCTTATCCAAGTAAGGTTCAGAGTCCCTGAAAATTAGAAAGGACCAAACAAAAGTTAATGATTCCATAAGGCAACAAGAAATGTTATAACAAAATCAAAAGATTGAAAAATGGAAGATATTGGTTATTTCACACAGAAAACAACTCACCTGTTTGGCCAACAGATCAAGAAGATAATTTAGGAATCATTGGACTACCTGAGAGTGAAAAAAATAAATAAATAACAGAGCCTGGACATTGTGTTTCAAGAAATCAATGAAAGAAAGCTCCAGATCTCTCAGAACCAGAAGGTAATGTGAAAAAAAAAAGAATGTATTCGTCACCTGTTGAAAGAAATCCCCAAATGGAGCCAGAGCTTCCAGGTCAAAGAAAAAATACTGTGTGCAGCCAGAAATAAAGACTTTAAGTACCAAGGAAACCAGAGTAAGGATCACAGGAAGTTTATCAGTTACCGCTATCAAGGAGCATAGAGCATGAAATATGATGCTCCAAAGGCTTATATATATGTGCTTATAACCAAGAATAACCTATCCAGCAAAACTGAGTACAATCCTACATGGGGAAAAATGGATCTTTAGGGAAATAGAAGACTTCCAAGCATTCCTGATTAAAAGACCAGAACTGAGGAGAAACTTTGAAATATAAACATGAATTAAAAAAAGTATACAACTAAGCAATTAAAAAAGGCTTTAAGTAAGTAAATAAGGTGTGTGTGTGTGTGTGTGTGTGTGTGTGTGTGTGTGTGTGTGTGTGATATAAGCACCCCCTAAGAACTATGATGTCACCAGGAGTCCTTGTTTTAGTTTTCTAGTCTTTAATCCTTGTCTTCTAATTCTTCATTTGGTTGGAGCCTGTGATTTTGCTGGTGTAAGGAATTCCCCTTGAAGAAAATCTCTCTGTCAATGAAGATTGGTACCTGCATAAAGTGTAATAGTAAAATAGAGTAATTGAGGGCAAGAAGATGTTAAGTGACTTACACAGGGTCATAAAGCAAGTATGTATCAGAAATGGGATTGAATTTAGGTCATCTTGCCTCCCAGGCTGGCTATCTAGCATTATGTCATGATCTCTCTCTCATAATTTAAATATCACAAATATATTTAGATGAATTCATGCTTATGGTACTGAATGAGAAGTATATACAACAAACTAAGTCATGTAAGAATTTATATTTTATAATTCAATATGAAGAAATATCAAAATAGGAATAAGAGAAAAAATATGGAAAGGGTACTTTCAGAAATGGATTTCAAATCATGGAATTAGAACTGGAAGTGACCTGATAGATCTCGTTCAGGGATTCTTAACTTCTTTTTTTTATATCTTGGACCATGTTGGTAATCTGGTAGAGCCTATGGATCCTTTCTAATAATATTTTTAAATGAATAAAATAAGATCATGAAGGAAATCAATTGTATTGAAATGGTTATAAAAATATTTTATAAAAGTTAGTGGGCTGCAAGTTAAAAATCTCTGAAGTCCAACACTCTCATTTACAGATGGCAGGAAGGTCACTGAAAATGAAACAACTTGTGGAGTGTCTTATATCTCACGTGGATAGGAAGTAACAGTGCTGAGATTTTAAACCAAATCTTCTAAGTCATCAATCAATCAGCATTTATTAAGCCTTTTCTATTTGCCATGGATACAAAGGGAAAGGTGAGACAGTACCTGCCTTCAAAGAACTTAGTTTGTACTGGGGGGAAAACACATAATTAAACAATCCAAAGACAAAGTACATTTTTGGGAAGTGGGGGGGAGAAGAGGAAAGGACACTAGCAGCTGGGACGGATCTGAAAAAGCTTAATGTGAAAGGTGGTGCCTAAGCTGAGTTTTGAAGGAAATAAAATATTCTACAAGAAGGAGATGAGATGGGGATGCATTCCAGGTACTGGGAACAGTTATTGCAAAGGAAATGAGATAGGAGATAGAGTATTACTTATGAGGGACAACAAGAAGGCTAGGTAACTATGTGTTACCTAGTGTGGGAAAAGATAAATCTACAATCAAGTTTGAAAAATAGCTAGAGACCTAATTGTGAAGGTATTCAAGGTAGTTGAGCTTAGAGGCACTAGGATGGTGCTAAAGTTCATTCAGTATGGGTATTACATGTTAGATATTCACTTTGGGGAAATCACTTTGGCAGATGAATGTAAGATGGATTCAAGAGAGGAGAAACCTGAGGAAGGTAAACCAATTAGGGAATAACCACAGTTAGGGGACACATAGAAGATGAATCATTCAGAGAGAGACTGAGAAGGGGTCAGACAGTAGAGCCAAGAGAGCAATTTCCTAAACAAATAAACAAAACAACCCAGAGAAGAGAGGGTATCTAGACAGAGTACGGTGTTTAACAGTGTCAAATGCTGGAAGAGGTCAAGAAGAATAAAGATTGAGAAAAGGCCATCTGACTTGGCAATTAAGAGGTCATTAGTAACTTTGGAGAAAACAAATTGGAGGTTGAAAAGCCAGCCTATATCCCATCAGGTTGGAAGCCAGATTGCAAAGACTGAGAATTGAATGAGAGTAGTAGAGATAAAGGGTGTGTGTGTGGGTATACATATGCATGTATATGTGTGTGTTTGTATATGCATGTGTAATTATATATATCTATGTGTGTGTAAATATATGTGTAAATATGTATGTATGTATATCTATATCTATATCTATATATATATTTATAAAATTTTTCCCCTAGGAGTTTGGTTGTGAAAGATAGTTATAGCATGGTAGCTTGAGAGGAATAGTAGAATCTAGTGAACATCTTTTCAGAATGGAGGCGATATGGATGTGTATGAAGGCAGTAGGAAAGGAATCAGAAAATTAAAGAAGAAATGATTGTGAGGGGCCAGCTGCTGGGAAGAATTGAAAGGAGAAATGACCACAGGTGTGTGTGGATGATTGAGTCTTGGTGAGGAGAAGGGGTACCTCTTCATCAGAGACTGAGAGAGAGATGTCTTCATCAGAGAAAATGAGAGAGGATGTCAGAGGGCTTTGAGAAGTAGAGAAGGAAAGAAGAGGAAGCTTGCAGCTAAGGGTCTCTATTTCTTTCAGTAAGGCATTAAGAAGAGGCCTAGCTGAGAGAGTGGAGGGAAGCTTAAGGAGAGAGGAGGCTGTGTTGCCTCATCTCATGTTAGCACTTTGGGATGTATATATTCTCTGGAACTAGCAGAGAAAATTCAGAAAAGCCTCTCTAGGGAGTGAATCATCTACCCCATCTTTTACGGAGGAGTAAAAGGATTGTTTTGCTGCAGTGAGGACCCTCTTGAAATCAGATTAAATAACTTTGTAGTGAACCAAATTGATACAGTTTGTGACTTTGCCCATCTCTGTTTAGTAGAACATGAGAATTGGCTATTCCCTCTTCTTTTTTAGTGATTGATCCTTCAGCCTCCCACACTAAAGATATGTTACTTCCTAGTTACTCAACATCAGTGGTTTCTGGCAAGAGTTTTCTCACAGGTTCACGATTCTTCTCTCAGTTGGTTTGCTTAATGGTCTTTTCCCCCACCATTTTTTCAAAGTAACATTGTTTTCCCCAACCATAGTCTCCAGCTGGCTTGATTTTCAGTGGTCCCAGGATTATCTCCCTGTGCATCTTCCTGACATGTTAATGAATCCCTCACATTATACCTCAGAACTTTACTACATTGTGCCCTTTGCAATATACTTTTTCTTCTGCAACAGTTCTTCTGTTTCCTGTCTTCCATCACTTGGTCAACTCAGTGATGGACAACATACTTAGAATTGATTGTTTTCTATTAATTTATACAGGGGATAATGCTAGAAATGGTGCCAAGGATAATCATATTCATGAAAATGCTATAAAATATTATTTGGTGATGATGTATAGATCTAGATTTTAGACCTTTGGCCAATTTTCTTATGAGAAGGTGTGATATAGTGAACTTGCCTGAATTCTGCAGAAATAATTATGTAGAATTCCAAATACAGCAGCTTTCAATGACTAACTCTAAAACTGCAAGTCTGATTGTTGGTAACAAGCTCACAGAGGAGAAGAAAAAAAAATACTCCATTATAACTTTAAACATCAAACCAACCATGAAAAATTATCTAAATATGTGTGGTTCTGTACTGTGAATAATATGTGAAGGATGAGAGGCAGTGTGACACTGTGGAAATAGTGCTGGATTTAAAGTAATAGAACCTGGTATCCAATCCCAACTCTGTTGTGTGACCTGTGGTGAATTATACTCCCTCATTGAGCCTCTGTTCCTTTTCTCTTGTTTTTGATATTTTTACGCATATAGTTCCTTCCCCCCCACCCCATTTCCTTTAAAAAAAATCTCTCTGGGATACTGACCTAGTAGTGGTATTTCCAGGTCAAAGAGTATGCATAGCTTTATAGCCCTTTGGGCATAGTTTGAAATGCTCTACAGAATTGTTGTGCACAGCTAGTTCATTTGGCTATAGAGCCTATCTAGGGCCTAGGATTTCCCAATCACCTGATGAATCAAGACCAGCTTGATTTTCTATCTCAAATGCGCATTGATGAGGTGGGAGACAAGATGGAAACAATTCCATTTAATTTTTGCAAAGCATTCACTTAAGTAGTAAAGTAACAAGAACTTCTTATCAAGTTACAATGACGTAGAGCTCATGCTGTGCTAAGGACAGTGCATGCACATCTTGTGCACATATCTGACTCCAGACACAGATAAACTGCCAGTGACCATACAATAACTAGGGGAGTTAAAGATTGTTAAAGATCCATACAATGGAGCACCAAACCAGGTGACCTTTGCTCAAAGATCAGCACCCAGAGGGGCCTTCACCCATCAGTGAGACCTCTTGAACAGCCTGTGGCCCTCCGCATCCTACAGATCTCCAACAATTCCCCCTTTTTGTTTTTGACAGAGACATAGCATATGAAGCTCAGTCCCAAAGTCCTTTATCTGATTAGCTATGCACCTGAGCAAACACAGTCCAAAACACACCATGGCCAGCAAAATCAAGCATAATGGCAATAAGGAAGACAATAGAGATATAAACCAATGTCCAAGGTCATTAAAAGGATTACGGATTTTATCTATCCAATCAAGTATACGTTGGGCAGTTTTATCTGGCATCAAATCCTTATCAGCCGCCCTTGCAATATCTTTAGCAATTTCGTATAAGTCATCAATATCCACTGCAATAGTAGAATTTCCAAACAACCCATTTAGATGCCTACGTA